CTGTCGGCGTAATGGGGACACTGTGATTATTTGACGTAATGGAGTCACTGTCGTTATTTTGACGTAATGGGGTCACTGTCGACGAAATGAGGACAATGTCGTTATTTGACGTAATGGGGTCACTGTCGTTATTTTGACATAATGGGGTCACTGTCGTTATTTTGACATAATGGGGTCACTGTCGACGTAATGGGGTCACTGTCGTTATTTTGACATAATGGGGTCACTGCCGTTTTGAAGTAATGGGGTCACTGTCGTTATTTTGACGTAATTGTGTCAGTGTCGTTATTTGACATACTGGGGTTAGTGTCGTTATTTTGCTGGAGTCTGCTTCCTTACACCACGTACCTAACTCAGTGTGGGATTGGCCACTGTTACTTAGCTGATGTAGAACAGCACGTACATTACCTGTAATAACGTGGATAGACATGATACATTGTACTACGGAATTAGATTAGAGGGTACTATCTAGGCCCGATATTGTACAAATGACCGTTGTGTCAACAGAATGTGAATTATTGTGCATTTACCTGTTATCCGTGTATACATTGTACTGTCGCTGAGATTAATTCCGATCTATAATTTTGTAATGTTGTTTATATTCATTCAGTTCGAATTCATTCTCGTTTTATTTTGCCGTTAACAGGCGGAAGAAATATTGTCCAAAAGCCGCTACCTAACCGGAAACCAGTTGACAGAAGCGGATGTCCGCCTGGTTACAACTCTATTCCGGTTCGATTTGGTCTACGTCGGACATTTCAAGGTTAACTCTACAAACAGTTTGTGATAAGATAATTCATATAGTAGCATATGTCAGTTAAATATGTTTTTCAAAAAATTTGAAATCTTGAATCTCCATAAAAGCCATTATTTCCTGTTGAAACGGTTGCCATCCACATAAACGTAAATGGCGTCTCAAAGTAAAACTGTCCTTTCTGTCTAAAATCAGCAAACACGAGCACAGAATATTGTAATTACAGAGAGTTGACTTTGTTACACAGACACAAGCATTACGGTAAAGAAATATTGCGAATATTTTCATTGACTTTTGTGGAAGGATGCCAAACCGTGCGTCCGTATTCTTTGAATACGGAATGTCTATAAGGGCTGTTAATACTAGAATAATAAAAAGATACTTGAAAATCATATTCTAAAATATTGTTTGTCCCTTGATTGTCTGAAATGTGAAAATACTTGCATAGTATTTGCCTCCATAAATATTTTATATCGAGCCATAAACAACGCACTATCTGCTACATGTACATTGTACATGTATATATTTTGATTTCCTCTATAGAATGACCAAATGGTCACTTCACTAAAATCGTTCATTGGCTGTAACACACCAGGTTGTATTGTTTTTGGAGTTTACATGTTACATGAACATGTGCAGTTGAATCGGTGATTTTCTGGATAGGTGCATCAATTTTTCCAAAATAAAAAGGTTTTCTGTTAAGACTTCTCTAGTGTAATAAGAAGCGGATTGTGGACTTCCCCAACTTGTGGGGATTCCTGAGAGATATATACCAGATCCCGGGGGTAGCTGACACCGTAAACATCGAACACATCACACTAAACATTACATGGCGAGTCTGGTACATGTACCACAGTCGTGGTATGCAGAGTACGTTTTCCTCTTCTATAAACACGCTTTAGTTAGTGTATGCTTTGAAACGTCCGTACACGTAGAACGTACAATATAAGTATAAACATGATGAACACAGATAATAAAAAAAAATTGGACAAAATCTGTCATTATAAGAAGCGTTCGGTTTCTTGATCACTTTATCATATGTCCAAATGATGTGAAGCCATTTTTTTAAAAACCTGCGACTAGCCTCTATCGGCATACATAACACAGTTGTGAACTATCTAAGGTAGCAGACTACAGTAGAAATGGCCCGACTCTGATAAACAAGGCACATGTCGAGGAAATGTAAACACAGCGGATTTACCCTACACAACACATGTATACATGTATATATATTTGTAAACTGCATTACATTTACAATACATATAAAGTACTGAGAAGTGTATAAACCTCTTTTTTTTATGTATGTCACTTGTGAGAAAACCATGGTTACCACATCAAAAATTCCCAAAAAATGCCAAAAATTGCTATTTTCAACCCAAAATTTGACCCCCGCAACTAGTATTTTTTTTCCTAAGCTCTGTCTGAAATTAAAGATTACCTACCTGGTTGCAGAATTATCTGGGTCCCAGTAAAGTTGTAAAACTTGATTTTTTGCAATTTTGCGTCGTGTGCTGTTGTCAAAATTTTACCTCCTGTAAAGCTAGCTTTTCATGTGTACGACCCTTTCGGATTATAGCCAAAATTTTATTCTCAAACCAAAAAAATCTTCTTTCTTTTTTACAAATGTGAAGCTCACATAGCCCACTTCATCATGCTTATACCAATTTTAGTACAGTTTTATTTTTATTTATTTTTTTACATATCATTATACAGGGGTTAGCCATTTAACAAAAATATCACCATGGCCACAACCCTCTACTGTACACTGCTACCTAATACCATAACGGTAATCAATTTATCTTAAACTCATTTGACAATAATAAGAGTAATTACTAATCCTGGGTTCGAATCATGGCGGATAAACTTGCTACATGTACATGTGCTTTCTTTGCAGGGGAGTCCGATAATGGCAAAGATCAATCCCAACGGTATCGTATCCGTTGGACCAGTTATTGACTTTACCTCTCCACACGGACAGGAAACCATGGGATAACGTCACGTTCAATACGACATAGGGTCGGATCAATCCTAGGACAGATTGATGCCCTTCCTTACCCGCCATGATATACTATGTGATATGTACTTGGTAAGGGGCGCCATCGCGTGTACACGATTCAAGATTCTTACGTAAAATACGAGCACCACGAGGAGATGTTCTTGTTCAAAGTATGGCTTTGTTGTTACTTAGGTGTTCTCCTTTTTCTCGGATATGAAGGTTGAAAGTCAAGGTCACTCTTTTTACAAACACAACTTTACTTTGTGCACTTTCTGTAAAATGGACACAGTTGACATCACTGAATTTGCGTAATATTACAGTGTACATCTATTCTATTTACATATCAATATGGACACCAAGATATTACTCAGGAATGGAAGAGCATTATGTAAAAACGTGTCGTGAGTAGCAGACGTACATTCCCGAAATTCCATGGGTTGGGCTCACTTACTGCACCCCATGAACAGAACTAGGCACTAAGTTAGCCATTCGATTGGTTTCACGTATTAAAAAACTGACCAATCGCTAAGCTGATGCCTGTCCTTTGAAGAGTACGAATGAGTCACACCCTACTTCCAAGTCAGTCAAGTTTACCAGTATGCCGCCGCTCGATTATTTTGATATGCATAAAAGTATCAAAAAGGAGAACTGCATCATCTGCAAGGTCACTTATACAGAACCTTCAATTTTGTAATTACATGTTCCATGGGTGAAGTGAACATACGTGGGCGTATCCCTGGGCTTTTGAGGGTAAATGGTGTATTAAGCCAATACACACTGTATATAGACTGTATAAAGTATGATTTTCGCAACATAAGTTAAACAATAGACAAGTCATACAATAACGTTAATATTTGTTTTAAAAAATCATCTAATTACGACCTTAAAATCATCAATGATGTCAGTGTCCATCATGATAATTGTCTAGTTAATGGAGTCCATGATAAGTGACCACAGGTTTATGTGCATACTATACTGAATTTCACTAAGACTTAATGCTGGTGCCACATTTGGTTCTTTTGGTTACTGTTGATTACTGAACACCTAGGTTTTCCACTTAGGGGTTCATAGCGTCTTTTCTTTTCAATTCCTGTTTCTATTTTTGTTGACTTACATACGCGTTTTGGTCTCGTGTATTGATGAAATGTAGCCCTTTTCTTCATTAAGCAAAACTGTATGTTAATCTTTACAAAGCATTGACCAACAAGGACCTTAGGAATGCAAACACATTTATATTGCTATGACACATTTACAAAGTCCCTTTGACAAGTTCTTAAAATTACTTAACTCATTCACCCCTGAAACTTCATAATGAACTATTCCAACCATTGATTAGGAAGAGTTCAAATGTGTCTTTAGGGGTTAATGCACATGCAGACCTATTTATAAATATAGTTTTACAATCTATATATTGTCTTTCAATCCATCATGAAGTAAGAATTATGAAAATTAAAAACAACTTTTAACATAAGGTTGTGTATAACAACATTCCAGCAAGTAATATAGCATGTTTGATGATCTTATCAATGTGAATGAGCTCATCAGATCATGTGATCATGTGATCATGAATAAACTAGTGATCTCATCAAGCTGACCTGTAAAACTGGCAAATGCACCTGAAGCTTTATCACCGCAGGAAATACAATACTGTGGAATATAATCATTCATTAGAACAAAATAAACACTGTAACTTTTCAAATCTTATTTAATTTTCTATTTGATTACATTCATTTGCATAAAACATTCAAATTCATCACATAGCTTATAATTATACATGACATAATTTTATCAACCTGTAGTTATCAATCAAATACAGAATTTAAACTACTCACATTCACATTAGTCAATAATAATCAAGCAACAGTCAAACTCCAAATATGAGTTGTGTAGAGGAATTTCTGGCAATTTTAGAAATTCAGTATCATTGATATCCTTAACCGTAAGGTAAAGGGTATATTATGTCAGGCCAATGGTTGACTAGGAAAGCTTGTGAGAGACAACAAATAGAAAAAAAATATCTGAATGGAACAGATATTAATAAACAAACGTGACTGAGTCTCTATAACACATGTCAGAGTAATGTCTATATAACTGAGTCTCTATTATACATATCAGAGTAATGTCTACACGACCAAGTCTCTTAAACACATATCAGAGTGATGTCTACATGACCAAGTCTCCTAAACACATATCAGAGTAATGTCTACGTGACTAAGTCTCTATAACACATGTCAGAGTAATGTTTATATAACTGAGTCTCTATTATACATATCAGAGTAATGTCTACATGACCACGTCTCTTAAACACATATCAGAGTGATGTCTACATGACCAAGTCTCTTAAACACATATCAGAGTGATGTCTACATGACCAAGTCTCCTAAACACATATCAGAGTAATGTCTACGTGACCGAGTCTCTATAACACATGTCAGAGTAATGTCTACGTGACTGAGTCTCTATAACACATATCAGAGTAATATCTGCTGACTGAGTCTGAATCTGCTGACTGAGTCTCAATAACACATATCAGAGTAATGTCTACGTGACTGAGTCTCTATTGTACATATCAGAGTAATGTCTACATGACCAAGTCTCTTAAACACATATCAGAGTAATGTCTGCATGACCGAGTCTCTATAACACATGTCAGAGTAATATCTACGTGGCTGAGTCTGTCTAACACATATCAGAGTAATGTCTGCATGACTGAGTCTCTATAACACATATCAGAGTAATGTCTACGTGACCGAGTCTCTATAACACATGTCAGAGTAATGTCTACATGATTGAGTCTCTATAACACATGTCAGAGTAATGTCTACATGACTGAGTCTCTATAACACATATCAGAGTAATGTCTACGTGACCGAGTCTCTATAACACATGTCAGAGTAATATCTACGTGGCTGAGTCTCTCTAACACATATCAGAGTAATGTCTGCATGACTGAGTCTCTATAACACATATCAGAGTAATGTCTACATGACCAAGTCTCTTAAACACATATCAGAGTAATGTCTGCATGACCGAGTCTCTATAACACATGTCAGAGTAATGTCTACATGACTGAGTCTCTATAACACATATCAGTAATGTCTACGTGACTGAGTCTCTATAACACATGTCAGAGTAATGTCTATATGACTGAGTCTCTTAAACACATATCAGAGTAATGTCTACGTGACTGAGTCTCTATAACACATGTCAGAGTAATATCTACGTGACTGAGTCTCTTAAACACATATCAGAGTAATGTCTACGTGACTGAGTCTCTATAACACATGTCAGAGTAATGTCTTCGTGACTGAGACTCTATAATACATGTCAGAGTAATGTCTACGTGACTGAGTCTCTATAACACATATCAGAGTAATGTCTACATGACCAAGTCTCTTAAACACATATCAGAGTAATGTCTACGTGACTGAGTCTCTATAATACATGTCAGAGTAATGTCTACATGACTGAGTGTCTATAATACATGTCAGAGTAATGTCTATGTGACTGAGTCTCTATAACACATATCAGAGTAATGTCTACATGACTGAGTCTCTATAACACATATCAGTAATGTCTACGTGACTGAGTCTCTATAACACATGTCAGAGTAATGTCTACGTGACTGAGTCTCTATAACACATGTCAGAGTAATGTCTACATGACTGAGTCTCTATAACACTTGTCAGAGTATTGTCTATGTGACTGAGTCTTCATGATGATCTTCATGGTGATCTCGCTGAAACTGAGTGGAATAAAGTTCAAGGTTATCCCTTTGTGACTGGTCTCTAAAAGCAGAGGCAAGAATCACCTCTATATGACCCACGTATCTATAACAGGGGCCAGTGTGATCTCTGTGGCTGAGTCTCTGTATCATCAAGTTTAAGGTGAGCTCTTTGTGACTGGTCTCTATAACAAAGGTCAGGAGGGAATATCCATATGACTGAGTCTCTGTATAAACTCCAGAAGATACATCTGTAGCTGAATGTCTTGTCTTTTATTGGTGACGAAGAATCCAGGAACTCCAGCACGCTCCAGCATCACTTGCTGATCCATCACCTTCTGGTCCAGATCCAGGATAATCTTCATATCCCGCTTTTTCACCTCTTCTTCACAGCGCCGCTCTAGTGTCTGTAAGATATGCCAAACGGGGCAAATTCATAAGCTTATTTTTGGAGTACGACAATGTGAATTAATCATATATACAATTATGTACCTAACCTATATAGGTGTAGACATGTTAATATCAGACTGGACGGAGACTCAGAGAAACATATTACTGAAGGTAATACTGGTATAACTATGCTTTCTTTTTTACATCACTTCACTTGTATGTTCCCCAGGGTCCCTGCTTGGGCATATTGAATCTTAGGACTGATTAGAATGCCAAGATGGTCGACAGGCAACCATCTTAAAATTCAGAAAGATAAAATTTAAGAAGTACCTGACAAATGTTTCTCAAATTTTTAATAGCCTGTAGTTGTGCAGGTTTCATTTTGAAACTGATTGCAAAAACAAGGCGGCCACCAGCTGGCAGCCATCTTAAATTTTAACAGTTCCCTGATTCCCATCACTATTTCTCAAGAAGTATTCAACAGATCGTTCACACATTTCACAGATTGATTTTCTTTGGTCTCAAGTTGTGCATCTTTCATTTTGAGACTTATCAGAACAACAAGATGGATGCCAGGCAGTCATCTTGGATTTAAACAGTTCCAGATTGTTATCACTTATAAGTTCAGAAGAGGCACTTGACAGGTCTTTCTCAAATTTTAAATGTGGGTTCCCCTTGTTACAGGTTAGTACTAGGATAGTAAAATGGTCAAACCACAACCACACTTTGACTAAACGTTCTGTATATAAAATGTATGTGCTCTACAGAGTAAAACATACTTCAAAAAACGAGAGGCATGCCTAAGCTTCAGTAACATGCATGTGTAAACTCACAATTTTCTCCCGTTCAATGGTAGTCTCCACTATAGGGAGGTTGTGTGGTTTAGTCTGACATGACTGCAGCATCTCCTTGTGCTTCTTCTGAAGATCATGTCGCTGAGCTATAATGGAAATTAACTACAAGTTAAATAAGAAGAATACATGACATGATTTATTTTAAGTTGGTTGTGCTATTTTATCTGTATACTAAGTGAGACTTTCATGATAGGATATACAACATCATTCAAGACTTGATTAAACACATTTCTAGTGATGTCATGTTATTATAGTAAAGATGACTAAGTGGAAGACATGGCCCCTGATCTACACAAATTGAAGTAAGTTTCAGTAGTTACAAGGAAGAAAATGTAAAAACGTTTAGACCTGCTTTCTGAATACAAGCACAATATTGTTTTTAACCCTTTCACCACTGTAGACCATAATGGACTCATCCAGATCAATGCATGGTAGAGTCTACTCAAGTTACATAGGAGTGAAAGGGTTAAACCTGCTTTTAATACTTACTCCTACAAGTAAGAAAAGTAAGACTATGTGTAATGAGTCTTTAGACCTACTTTCAGTATCTAAGAGTAGGAATAAGGCTACTTTTAATACTGTATATCTTAACTTGTCAAGTTTAATATCCAGTTCATATCTTTGAATCCAAGTTTGTAAACTCATTTAGTTGTCTCCCCTTCTGACAGTCATATGGATTTTCAAATTTTGAGAATCTAACATGGTTTTAATACACATACAATTATAATTGATCAAAATTTGCATGTGATATTTTGTATGTTTTCTTGTTTTTGTATTTCAACTTGGTTTTAATCATTAATACAAGTATAATATTGCTTAAAGATATGAGGTAAATACTGTACATAATCATAAATACTGTTTATTTCACTAGTCAAAGTTGTTTCATAAACTTGCTTTTTGGCTTTTTTTAACACTCAGTGTGATATTTAAGTCATATCTTAATTCATATTACACATGTGAAGTCATCCCAGTACATCTAAAATAATATTACTATGGTAAAGGGAAGACTGCTACAAACATATTATACATATATGTTACATATGAAAAAAGACTGTATATATGGATGAGATGTTTTAGAACTTGTAAATGCAGGAAATTATTCCAATATTTTTAAATGAGATTTAGATGTACATGGAGTTTTCTTGAAACAATACTTTAGGAAAGTAGCAAAATGATCAAGGTATAATTACTTGTGAAATTTTATCAAAATACAAAATATATGTATCAGGTTCAGAAACCAGTGGAATAATTCTCAGAGTAATCAGTATCTGCAACAACCTGGATATTGTTTAGCTGAAGTGTTGTATATATGTAATGCGGCCTATGAATATGGCTGCACACCTTTATGGTCATTGACGAGTTTGATGCGCTGGCTGGACAGGTGTCTCTCTTCCAGCTGCTGCACCTCCTGTAGGCTTCTGACTATCTCAAACATGGTGTCATCAAGAAGGACATTGGCTAGACCAGACAACAGGTTGTATGGCATCCGCTGCTGGTACTTTCTATATACAAAAAAAGGAAGCACTATAAGTAGTAGTTTTTTTACATAGCAATTGCAGAATATCACCCTTTGAGAAAGGTACAGTTTTAATTCCCATCATCATAAACAGAAATTACTAAGGTGTGGGGAAAAGTTGATACATGTACATCAATATCTGACAAAATATTATTTATGTCTAGTGATTGAAAAATCAATCAATTAACCTTAAAGTTTCATTTGAGTTAAAGTCTATATCAAAACCCTAGAGCAGCTTGCATTGATAGTACTTGACAACTTCCCCATGTTTAATACAAATGGTTGATCATTTAAATCTATGTTAGCTGTACATGTTGATTGTTCAGGCAGACAGCTGGGGCTTGGACCTAGCTGACAATTCTGTATAGCTTAAGCTTAGTCCTTATCATGAACTGCTTCCGACTGGTGTCTGTACATGTTGTACAACCGAGAGAAACTTCTCTATCCACTTTAGGGTGTTGTTCCTCACCCTGTAGTAGTCCAGTGATGTGGCATCTATATATACACATGTAGTTAAGTCTAGATCTAAGCACTTTATGGAATTATTAATGCAATGCCTGCACAAATTCAAACATAATTATGTCAGTTTGGTATCCGGTCCCTTATCCGTGTTCCTAGTCAACTCATCCACCATTGTGAGCAACTAATTATATATATATATATATAACTTCCAAAGCTTCACAATTAATGTTGTTCATTGCACAAGATCCTGTTTGATCTTTTTGCCCACTGGTCCATGACTGTGTTGTAATTATAAATAATTTGCTGAACAAGTTTTGGGATACATTTCTCACCCTTTCTGTTGATTGGGAGAATATATTGATGTGCTTCGGGTTAATTCTCTAGTAAGCTGGTATGTATATATACATTGATTGTACAATAATAAGAGGATGGTTTCAGAAAGAAGGCATACCCTCTGGACCAGAGGTCTTAAATGGGGAGGAATATTTCAGCAGATTCTTACTCCATGGATGCATACCAGTATGTGTACCCTGATTCTGGGCATGGTTGAATGTCCGGGACTAAGACCTATATTTGGGATTTCTCAAAGATTATCTCTGGTATATATATACATTAAATGCAACTGGATCTGTTTTTTCACAATTGCTGCTTTGGTAGCTATAGGTATATCACTGTAATGAAAAGTTCATTCCTGGTCTTCAGAAGCCTCCTGTTTATCTTGATGTATACGGACCAGAACTTAACTGTTGATTTGTTCACAGGTCTTGACTGATCTTATAGAGGTCACAATGACATTGAGTTTCAGTTTGCTTTCTGTTATAAAGGGCTGGGCAACTACCAGTGACCGGACAGTTCAATCAGTATTGGTTAGAGCATTTTTCTAAGAGTTTGGAGTTTCTAGGATTGAATCCTTATGTCCACTACAGCTTTCCTTTCCTGTTACAAGGGTGCCTGTGAGTGTCACAAACCCTTAGCACTTATAATTACATGTAGCAAGGGTGTACAACTGTAACTATATATATATATATAAACATGGGTTGTATAATTATGTTAAATGATGTGTTTATATATACACTTATATCTATAAAAAGGCAGAAAGACAGATGTGTTTTTTTTGAGGGTTTGACCAGACAACTATCAGTGACCAGCTCAGCCTCAATTGGCTAGAGTTTTGGTAGTCAGGTATACGTAGAGCAGTAGATAGTTGCACTTGCTTTTCATTAAGATCATAGATGGCTGCAATTTGATTTGTCGATTGGACCTGGAAATATATGGGAGTCGTAATTATAACTGTCGAATAACACAAGTTTCTCTATGTACACTAATTTTAAGACACATTAAGATCCCTTACACACTACCATCAGTCTTATTCACTCAGACTAACATTAGAGATTTAATATAAATTGATATTACTTATTATAATTAATGCAATTATAAAAATTCAAGTTGAATTTGTCTGCTAAGAGTTCAGTGACCCAAGGTCCAAATGCCAGTCTGGCCCCTGGTTACATTTTCCCTCCTCTCTTCTAGCTAGCGCGTCCCTGCATGGTTACATTTTCCCTCCTCTCTTCTAGCTAACTCCCTATGAAAAAAACATTTGTAGTTGTAGCCACATTGGAGATGAGATGGAATCTGTCTGAAGAGTGAAAACTATTAATAATCAACATTTTGATTTTGATATTTTCATAAATTTATGACCATAATCACTCTCACATGCATACTTTTTTATGGTAAAAGAAAACCCTGCAGGCAGTAAACAAAATTGAGAACATCCCAAGAAGAGCAACCAAAAGGATTTCAACTCTTAAAAACGTACCATACGAAGACCGCCTCAGACAACTCAGACTCCCAACTCTCGAATATAGAAGACATCGTGCTGACGTAATTCAAACCTACAAAGTATCAAACAACATGGACATTCTTGACAAGGGCAAATTATTCCATGAAGCTGAAGACAACGGAACCAGGGACATTCCAGGAAACTATTCAAACGACCATGCAGACTATAAACAAATATGGTAACTTCTACAGCAACAGAGTGATAAATCTGTGGAACTCTTCAACAGAGGTGGTAGTAATCTCTCCAACGTTCAACACCTTCAAGTCACGGCTCAACAGCCACTGGAAGCATGTGACCCGACAAAATTCAAGCCATCTTTTTATTAGTTACATATATATATATATGCAAGTCTAATCAGTCAAAAGTGAACAATGTAACAAATTTACTGTTTGGCACGGACCATGCTTTTAAAAATCACATGTTTTTAACCATCAAATTGTAAAGGAGAGGAATCAACAGGGAGCTGAATACTCCAACCCTAGTACCAGATAAAGAAATGAACCTGTAATTGTAAATACATGTAGCTAGCAACCAGAAGTCAAATTAGTATGCGTGTGTACAGCATACATTAGAAGAAAAGAACATTATACATCACCACAAGCTACTAGCTAGCTTGAGACGATGTCATCTAAGCGAAATGTTACATTATATAGTTAAATTATCTCCAAGACTCCCCCCCCCCCCCAATTTAAAATTTAAAATATAAGGAAATATCGTATTGACATAGAATAAAATAAGATAATGAGACTAGGACTAAATATTTCTAAAATCATTTAACTGTATTACATTTGTATACGAACCCAGGGAGCTCCCTTGCCATGTTTTGGAGTTCCTTCTGTAAAAAGTAATGCCTCCTCTGTTGAAGTTCCCTGCGAGCAATTTCATCCTTCCTCGAGTTTAGAACAGCAGGATCGAGGTTACTGGTGTCCGACATTCTCTCTTTACCAGCTTTGGGATAGCACCATTTATATAATTAGCTAATAACATTTAGCCAACATATCATGCTTAATACCTAGCCCGATCGATCAGAAAGAAACAAATTCATTTGATGAGGGAATCCCCGGAAATATAACTAGCATTCTATTATTTTCCGGATAAAAACAAACAGGTAAAATGTTAAAGGAGGAAAAAAGAATAATAAAAGTCGCTTCAATCAATATATCTGTGTATTTATGGCAAGTAAATACATGGTTCTTCAACTCTTAAGTTTTGCAAGTGATAAAGTTAATATTCCCGGTTTCTTAATAAAATCCGGAATTTCATTGTTTGTTGGTTTTATTTTTAGACGTCACAACGCGGGGAATACCCTGAAGTCCCCCAACAATTCAATTTGTATCGACAGAAGACAGAAGATATACATGTACATATTCGGCCCGGGAACTTGTTAATTGTCCATTATTCAAATAATGTCACGCTAGCCTATATATGGTAAATACTTTCGAAGATTTGCTAATATGCTTGTTGAATTTCTGGCTCAGAGTCAGGTACCTGAGAACTACATATATAACTACAGTTTATATATATTTAAACAGTAATTATATATAATGAGACCATGTTTTGTAAATGTTCATACCTTTATTAATGTGTACAATTTTTATATAACTCCTAAAATGTCAGATAATACTGCCTACACACCAGAACTTGTATGCAGGGACGTATAATGGACTGTCCCTTGGTATATATATATATATTCTCATGCCCCTACTATTTTAGTGCATTATGCTTTTTATAGAATCAGCTTGGTATCAATACATGCAGTAACAGAGGGTGCTTGTCTATAACTGTACACCGCCATTTGTAGCGTGCCCTTTCATCTACAGTCATATTTATTTATTGCGTTATTTTAAAATTTGTTCTTGGTTTTACATCTAGATCTATAAATATGATTCTGCTGTGACTTAAATTTCATTACACCAAGTCCTAGAGCTGTTCAGTAAACTAGAGTGTACTCAGCAAGGTTAACATTGTTTCGATCCACTCTAAATCCTGTTCACCCCAAATCCTATGTTGTCCCAGGTTGTTTCACACTATTATTTTTTTTGCCCTAAAACTATTTTTATGGCAAAACTTTTTGGGCCAGGCCATTTGAAGTTCCTCAATTTTTCTTAGTTTTTTTTTCTGTTCACAGAATTCATACATCATCAGGTTGACCTGATCTTTACAAAACATACACCTGAGATTATTCCGACAACATACTATTAAATGTTATTAAAATATGAAAACAGAAGGTTTTTAATCCTTAAAAACATTTGAAATGATATTTATAACTCAAAAATATATTATAAATTTGAGTGAAACAACCTTGGGCGAACTGGATTTAGGGCGAAACAAACGGTAGTGCGAATGGGAATTTGAGTGTCAGTCAGTATGTAATGTGGATCTTTCCCTCAGACAACAATGCGAGTATAATAATGATAACACTTACTGTTCACTTTTATAACTGTACAATATTTGATATGATATATTATTCTTATCATAAAGAGGTGAACTCATGATCATTGCAGATCAGATCATTTCACTATAATGATAATTCTTTTTTAAATGACAGTTAATTCCTTTGTTTGAATTACATCATGTCTTTCACATCAGGCCCCCAACATATATATATATATATATACATATACAGATCATTAATACAAAATTATTCAATGTATATTCAGACCATATATTATCAATGCTTCAAATTCAATTAACTCGGTTTATGTTACAAATATATCAAATCATGGGAATTTTTAATTTGCATAATATATACTTTTTTTTTGCCCTAAAAATATTTTTATGACAAAACTTTATAGGCCAGGCCTGTTCAGTTGTGTATACAAGGCTTAGAATTATAATGCAGTCTCGTTTGAAGTTTTCCTTAATTTTTCTTATATACACAGTTTTTAATTTGCATATATATAGATATATATTATTTATAAAAGGTTACAATTTTAAATAAATACCAATTTATTAAAGTAGTGTTTTGAATAAAACTGCACTGTTATTTGCATACTCCTTTAATACAAAGGATTTTTCCATGAAAGTATCAATGTTCATGAATTGATCTACATGTATATATATATAATTCACGAAAATTCATGTTTTTTCCAATTCTGATAATGAATGCTAATGAACAGTGGTGATTTCATGACTTCAATTAAGAATTTGCTTAGAATTCATGAATATTCTGGAGATATTTGATTCTTAATATTAATTAAGTAATCATGAACTGTATTGATAGAATATGCATGAATATTCTTGAATGATGAATTTATTCATAAACTTACAATTAATGGTTAATAGATAATCATGAATCATTTATCATTATTTCACAGGGCAGTATATGTGTGCAATTTGTTTTTTGTACATTTTGCATGGAAACATGCATATCTATTGTTGTAATCAAGGTGTTAATTGATGATGAAAATCAATGCAATACATGTATATGTATACAACAAAAATGATCAAGTTGCATTTATAATTATGAGAATCAGTTGTAACTTTTTCAGGATTAAATATCTGTTGTACATGTACAAAGTTGTTGATCGATTGTACATGTATTACATTTGGTTTTAAAGGCAGACTTTGGTATATTTTCAGATTTTATTTTCATTTTCAATTGCAAGTGTCATCATAATTATATGCATTTCATTTAGAACTTAATCATTGAACATAAACACAAATCCTCATTAAATGGCCATCAAGTCTATGAGTTGTAAATTATACACATATTTTGACTGTTTTCATTTTTCTAGGCATACAAATTTCATGCTGCATATACTTCCAAGATTTTCTAAAGGTTCTCAAACTTTACCAATTAGGACTGTACATGTGCCCAATCATGTTGCTTAATATCGGACACCCTAAAATATGTTTTGATCTAATTAATTACTAATCCTCCAAGATTGTTTTTTTTAACTTTATGGGGTTCATCAGCCTATCATTAATCCTAACCTTGTCTTTTACATATGTTAACTTCAAAATACTTGCCAAATGATTCTGAGTGTTAAGATTCATACGCATACATGTATTACAGAACTGACTACATGTATAGTCATATATTTACTGAAAAACAGTAACAGTACCAACACATTAAGTTAGTTAAAAAGTACATATATCACCCTGGCCTATATACATGTACATCAAAAACCATTGTTAAATGCCTGTGTTTAATATTTTTGATACACTTAACTGCCAGTTGATTTCTTATTTATTTTTTTGTTCTCTTTCTTTTCAGGCTTTATAAACTCAATCATCCTTGTCTGCGTTTAAAACACCTGGATGTCAGATCAAAACGATTCACTTCAGAAACGATATCCTGTGAAATGCTGTAGTGTGATGATCATAGAAAGAATAGGAGTCGTATCACTCCCTAACCTCTCAAAGTATGTGTAGTTGGAGATGTTAGTAAATGCTAGTCCAGTATGGCGGAGCCAGAAGATGACCGAATACATCTTGCCCAGTTAAGAGATGATTCTAAACAGCGGCAATTAACGTTTGAGAACAACTGGCCTTCCGACAAGTCCTTCATCCCTGTGGAGGAGTTGATACGGGAGGGGTTCTACTACATGGGCAGGGGAGACGATAGTGTCCAGTGTACATACTGTAGGGGCATCATCAGGAACTGGGTACAGGGAGATGATGTCTATCTGGAGCATTGTAGACTGTTTCCACATTGTCCATTTGTGAAATCTGTGTTCAAATATCCCCAGTATTGTGATGTTGAGGCTAGGTTGGCATCATTTAAAGATTGGCCCTCTCAGCTGAAACAACAACCTCGGCAGATGTCAAAAGCCGGATTTTATTATATTGGTAAGTGAAAAAAGTTGTTATCAGGAAAAAATTGTTGAGAAAAAAATGGCGATTTAGATTATTATGACCCCACATTAATATTATAGATGTGGGTGGCTTGTAATCACATTTTTTGTCCCCCCTCTGTCAACGCTTTTTTTCAGGAGATTATATTATATCAAAATCCGGAAGTCTATATGTATGTATACCTACTTTGTTTCTGAAATTTCACATTATGTAGTACTTATATATGTTTACTTGCAATAGGGGTTTTACAATTTCCTAACAACACGTTGAAAGTTAACAGTTCTATAAATAGAACGTACAGAGGGGATATAATGTCAAAAATACTTTATACATATATACTAGCGGAAAAAAGTAACTGTGCATGCCTAAAATGTGTTATAAAATAAATGTGTATGACGTAGAACAACAAGGTTTTCAGGGACAATTTATTTGTTATTTATTAACAGTTGCATTCCATATTCCACGTTATGTAATCAATAAGTTCCGCTCAGGAGTGACGTAAACACTGCAGGGGTCAATACTGAGTTCACAAAGTTAATATACCTCGTATGTCCACCGTTTGCCTGAATGCAAGCCTGGCAACGTCGACGCATGTGCGTCGTGTGCAAGAATGCGTGTGGGATGGCATTCCAGATTTGTACCAACGTCACCGGTTGATTAGGTAATGCCCGTAATCTGCGCTTCATTTCATCCCAGACGTGTTCAATGGGCGACAGATCGGGGGATACAGCAGGCCAGGGCAACATGTCAACATTCTGCTGGACCAGAAAGTCCATAGCGACATGAGCTGTGTGTGGCTTGGCGTTGTCCTGCTGTAGCGTAATGGGACGTTGCTGCCCTAGCACGAATGGAACGACGTGCCTCCGCCGAAAGAACGTCATTGTACCACACACGTGTCACGGAAACGTTCTCCAACGTGACGATACACTCTGGAACGGCCGTCACTACTATCCAGGTGGACTCGCGACTCGTCTGTTAACAAAATGCCTGCCCAATCCCATCGAGTAAATTGCAGATGCCTTCTGCACCAGTCCAGACGTGCTACACGATGACGTAGCAGAAGAATTGGGCGGTTTGCAGGACGTCGCGGACGGATAGCTTGTTCACGCAATCGGTTCCGTACAGTTCTCGGGCTTATTGGTAGCAACCCAGGGAATGTCTGTGCAGTCAAACCTGCCGTTTGGAAGCGATTTCTCAAATGGACAAGCTGAATATGGTTGTCCTGCATGTTGACGTGACGTCACACGTGGACATCCCGCACGAGGTCGATCGCCGACGTGGCCAAACTGTTGATGTTGTCTCCACAAATCCCGGATTGTGTTTTGATGGACATGAAAACGTGTAGAGACAACAGCTTGGCACATACCAGCTTGAAGCATACCAATAATCCGGAGGCGGTCATTTTCATTGAGCCTCAACCTAGCATTAATCACAAATTAAAACGTTATAATGCTGTTTTTACTGTTCATTGGTCTCAACAGAGTGACCCAACAGTTGAAAAATAAACTTTCATTGTCGAATTGGATGGCTGGACGAGAAAAACGTGCAAACTGGTCAACGCCTATAGAGAGCAAACTGCACGGGAAAAACTGTCAATGACACACGGATAGTGTGTATGTGTCATACTCGGTCATGTGTGTGAATTTTCATATATAACAATTCTCCTCATGCACCATTTCTTTTTCCGCTAGTATATATATATATTGTCCAATTCTGACACAACAGCTAGTGTTAATTTTGGTAGTAAATGATAAAATTGTATTTGGTGAATAGCCTGCATGATTGACACTATATATATATATAGGGCATGGTCACTGAACATTGTAAAAAATAAAACGAGGTACATACTATACTTCTGTTCTTATATTTGTATGGCTGCTCCCACAAATACAATTAAACCTTGATAAAATATCACTCATTTCATATGCTTCATGTACATGCACCTTTCTGATGCTTAATTACCGCATTACCAATGAACATAATTTAAGGTACATGTACCCCTTTTTCATTTCTTTATATATAGATACATCATGCTCACCAAACTCCTTTATAATGCCAATATTTCTCTGAATAAATTGTGAGAGTATGATGATGTTAAACTGTTTCTAATTTTATATTGTATGGATCATCTCTAGGTGTAGGAGACAAGGTGCAATGCTTTTGGTGTGGGACAGTACTGAAGGACTGGGAGCCCAGTGATGACCCTGTATTGGAGCATGTTCGCTGGTCCTCCAGCTGTAGCTGGATGCTCATCATCAAGGGAGAAAATTTCATACAAGGAGTCCTTACGGTAAATTATCTATATTCTTTCAAGTCTAATTAGTGACAAACCTTAATTCATTTGAATTAATTGCCTTGCTTTTTAATTCAATAACACGGTATAGAGTGATCCCAGTTGCAGTACGTACATTTGAACTTTCAGTAAAAATTCTACTTACTATCAAAGAGTGCCCACCAGTTCATATGTACCTATTTTTTTTTTTTGTATTGATATAAACCTTGATGTAATTACAGTCCCAGTCAGCAGAAACACAGACAGTCATCCGACAACCAGAAGAGGATGACCCGCTGGAGCGTGCTCAACAGATGGGATATTCACCAGAAAAGATACAGAAGGCTGTTGAAAGATTAGGTTTGTTCCATTTTTAGCCATGCAGCACTGCTTCTAAACATCTAATGCTATGAATTGATGTGTATATATATATACAAATGTATTAAGTAGCCTAGTATCGTTACAGAAAATTGTCTCGTTCCTTTCACAAACTTTATTTTCACAACATATTAAGATATTGAACATTTCTCTTATTGGTCTTTAATTTTAATATATGACCAGAATTTAAGTTTATTTAGCATTAACTCAAGAAAATAATGATGTTTCAAATTAAAGGCCATAGTTGGTGCCAGTACGTACTGGTATTTCTGTGCTCTTGTATCATTTGAATTATTAGACTAATTCCAAGGCATATTGTTTAACCAAATGACTTTGCCCGCTTTGAATTAAATGTGGTATTTCAGGATCTGGCTTTGACCTGCAGTCATTGTTGGAAACAATAATGGACCTTGAGAGTGTTCCAGTCATTATTCCACAAGAACCATCTGGACCAGACTTAAGTCCACCGGAACGTGTGGAAATATCTCCCCCTTCGATATCCGGTGCTCAGGCTGTCATCCCCAATCACCCTTCAATGGATGAATTACGTAATATATTTCATATAATCTCATCTTTTATTTTCTGATCTCATATCAAAAGCATTAAGATTTTAATTGGGTTGAATTTAATTTCACTACTTGGTAAATCTAATCCTTTAAACTTGTGTGTTTGTCTGAGATGGATATATATATATATTGAAGCACCAATAGTGTAAACAAAGTTATTTTTCTGGGTGTTTATTTCGAGGTTTCAGTCAAAACACTTTTTTCTTTCGTTTATTTATATTTGATATATGAGACATCAGGCAAATTGGAAGTACTGAAATATCTTCAAGGAAAACTATTCTGGAAATAAACAGTTTGTAATATAATCCCTGCAGACCATTTCCTACATTTACATTATCACACAAAATTACAGGTGTCATCACAAGTACAGAAGCTTACTTAGTCTGTGGGGGTATATGATAAATATATTTTTCATAGTAGGAAAAGATATGATAACTGTTGCTTTAAAGTATACTCTGAACGTTTGGTTGTATCAATTAAGCTATGAAAATACTTCATGTGATATAATAAAAGGCTAAGAAAGTGTGAACGTCGTAGTTGACTCCGTTTCCGAGATATTGTAATTTATCTTAAAAACACACCTTTGGCTCAGCGGCGATCACTTCGATATTGGTAGCCCACATCTGTTCAACGCTGTCACAACAGCTCAATAGGAATATACCCGGAAGCTTTGATTGTTCGTTCGATATGTGAGCTTTTAAGCTACTTATATGATATATTCTGTCGTCACTTACTTGTAGGTAATGTTTAAAGTACATGTACTACATACATATGAATGATTTTATTTCCTACTGAAGAGGCAAACGATGCGCTCTATTCGAGTGTCCGAACACACATGCAGATGCTATCTAAATGAATCTTGTGTTTTTACATAATTCATTAATCTAGTGGTTGTAAATATCATACTTTTTGTTGTTAAATTGATCTCTAAAAAAATTGATGAACACTGCATACAACACAATGCAATTTATTTAAGATTAAGTCAAATTATGCTAGTGCACCCCACCCCTTTCTTTACCATTACGTCTTTGCGTATGGCAGAGTTATCTTCTCTTGTGAGCAGGTATTGATTGGTACGTCATTTGTTTGTGAGAGTAACGTCATCAATTTTTGTGAAATTTTTTCGCACAAACCAATGACGTAACAATCAATACCTGCTCACAAGATAACTCTGCAATACGCAAAGACGGAATATGCAAGTTATACGATTGAAATTGACAAAAAAATGCACCGGTACTATAATGTATACTCGAACGAAATGAGCAGCAACCCGTGTATTTTTACCCCTAGTCATAAAAAACTTACAAGGAATTTAGCACATAATATTAAAATATACACACCAATTTTAAGAATCTTGCAGATGGTCCGTTCAAGTCTCGCAAAGATTAGTATTTATCAATGAAACACCTGATCATATCACATAGTTAATGTGCATAACATGGTCAAGCATTATTTGCCTTGTTCCTGACTTTCATCTGTCAGGTACGTGATTCCGTTGTATTGATTGTGGTTTGCATATAATGTGACTCTTTGACAGTATGTACTTAGGTATTTTATTTATTTATATCTTTCTTGAAATTGATCCTAAAATACCTGCAGAAACGTAATATATATAATATATACGTCTCTGCTTATACGTTTCCCTGTTATCTAGCCTGAGGACATTGTTGTTAAATAGAAAATTGGAAGAGACATATTCATATAATCTACACCAATCTACATGTATATTAACTTGAGGTATTCCCTCGCCCACCTGCTGACATCCCTTTAATGTCATTCCTGGACACAGGTACACAGGTGTCCTGCTGTTAGCAGTGGACACAGGTACAATTTGTATGTTAAGTGTTATTTACCTGTACACAAATTTCACACCTAAGTAGGGTATATATATACAAGGGAGTGAAGGAGATGATTTTCATTATTGAACCAAGATGTTAAATTATAACTTGTATTTGGAGAAAAAAAAAGAAGCTTGAATCTCATAATTTAATCTTATTTTGGAGATGAATATAATCACAGAGTTAGATTATCTAAATCTGTGGTATAATTTAGTATCGCAAACATAAGTACTATATTGTATAAAATTATTTGTGTAACTGTCGGTATTTTGTTGTTTAATTCAAATTATTGACCTAATATAAGGACGACACGACATCGTCAATTTGTCATTAAACGGTAATACCAAAAATATGCCATACATTTTAATTTATTGACATTCAAAAAACAGCAGACCAGACACCAACGTTGAAGTTATTTTGTTAACATTTTTCACTGATACATTTCCGCCTTTTTGGACCGTAGCGGTACCACAGTATATCATGTACAATGTATATAACTTTGTGATATATATAATCCAGCACAGAAACTGGTCACGGAATAGTGCTGTTCAACAACGACATGATAGAATAAGTTCTCGCTGTAGAGCAGATAATATAAAGTATATTCGTCAGCCAGAGACATATAAATTAAGCCACTTATATACGTCGGCATAATCTGATTCTTCAAAACTTAAAAAATATTTATTCACAATCTGACGCTGTATGGCCATTGGCTGCATGTTCTTGATTTCGCCTTTTCCTTCCATGGTGACTGCTACAGGCGTTGAACTTGTGATGCACAGCCGATAGGGTCCCATTCACCGCGAGTAACGATTATGCTAATTAGTAGAAGAACAGGTGAAAATCGTACACTGTACACGTCAATATCTCGGTATTGGGATCACCGATTTTTATGCGGTTTTCGACAATTTTGTTTTTGGATCATATAGAATAATAGTAAATTCATTTCGTTTTTCGTTCCGGGTACACATTAAAACAACCAGAGAGTGAAATCAGCAGTGGTCAAATTGGCTTTTAAAATGCTCAGTTTAGAGGGTATAAAATTTAGAGGAGCAAAGTATCAAAGTTTTACTTTATACTATCTTAGCAGTGTTTTCTAATTGCAGTACAAAAAACTGAAATAAGTGTACCAAACTAGTATAGTATATCATGTGATACCCTGGACCATTACCAATGTTTTTTTAATGTGAAGTGTTTCTTTATATTCCAGAGCTTCATTCCTTGACAAGGGAGAACTTTTCTCTCAAGCTGCGTACCCAGTGTAAGATTTGTATGGAGGAAGATGTGTGTGTCGTGTTCCTGCCCTGTGGCCATTTGGTCTGTTGCTTCTCATGTGCATCCCTCCTGCAGGAATGCCCAATCTGTCGGGGTCGAATTGAAGACAAAGTACGCATATTTTGGTAGATACCAATTCAAGGCAAGTACGGTTGAATCTGCTTTACTCAAGATACAGGATACAAGAAACTTCATTTTTTGTCGTGTATATGTGTAACGTGAAACATTAGCTCTGAAGAGCTATTCTTACTACAAAGTCCACCTCTGTAGAAAAACGATATCAGATTTGTTCATGGTTCATTATATTCATGCATAAGAAATGACAGTCTTCAGAGGATGCATTTTTCATTTGCTTTATTGGATGGTTGATATATGCAGGCTTGACAGTATCATACTAATCAAATGTTAGGTTCATTGTAACATTACATGTCGAAATGTTATAATGACTATAACGGACTGAATTATGGTGAATAATTGTTTTAGATATTTTTTGACTGAAGAAAACTAATGAAAATAATTCACTTTTCTGTACAAGATATCAAAAAGAACTCTAATAGAGTAATAAATTGTCAATAAAAAATGAATTATGACCAGAAAAAATGTAATAAAGAATTGTTACAGACAGACAGACATTCTTTATTTCCTCTTTTACAAGAGATTTAAGTCAATCAATACATACATATATGTTTACATTTCAAATTACATAAAGATAGCGTTAATCAATAGAAAAAGGAAGAGAGTAACAATAATGTGTCAATCTCACTCACCATTCTTTCTAGCTTAATTGACATATTGATCATCATATTTTCCCACTCATAGTCTTCTAGTAGTACGATCTCCTAATAAGAAATTTAAACTGCATTGGTTTTCATCCTCTATATTTGTAAATAAAATATATAGGAGGGAACTTCTAAAGCATTCACCACCATCCATCATTAAGTCACGCGTTTCAAACAATTTTGGACACTCAAGCAGAAAATGAAAAACAATATCAGCAGTAGATTTACCACAAAGTTTACATAATACAATATCGCGTTCAAATATAAATGAATATTTCATTAGCTTTATTAACTGTCACATGCATTTATGCGATTTTTGCTTGGTACTCAGTTCTAATATGGGGTTGATTCCCTGATAACTGTGTATGGCAGAATAACGAAGCTATTCCGCTTTTGTAGATATATATAGTGCATCTCTCCACTGTATATGTTAGAAATCTGTAATAAATCTTTTAATAACAGGTTTCCAGCATAACATTGGAAGTACAAATATGTTGGTTAAAAAGTCAATTAAAAATGATTCTATATATTAAACTTTTTCATGATGCTGAACACATCTGGAATAAATCCTATTTGTACAGCGGACAGTTCGCCAAACATGAACTGACATAATCTAATAATAAACAAGGACTTCCATACAAACTTTACATTTCCTAAAAACAACTTGTTCGAAAATAGCAGTTTTTTAATTTCTACCTCACTCCAGATGTTAAAAACTCCTAAACCTTGTGAAGTTACAACAGTTGATGACATATAGCATACATGGATAAACAACAGATTTAGCGTGAATGCCTATACCAATAAGAGAGTTTAATCTTTTCCTTCCTTTCACACAGGACTCGGTAATACCACTGTCTGATTTTAGGTGACATGTAAAGAATATCCCAGCATAAGTTTTCTGTGTAGTACGAGGAATAGCCACTTCTCCAAGAGAACAAGATATTTTACTCCGTTGCTCTGATTTCGATCGACGTGAGCGATCGAATATCATAAAAGAACTTAATTAAAGGCAATATTCAATCGCAACAAGCTCAGGATAGGTTGGTTTCTTTATTGTATGTCTACCGGTTTCGCCCGAACATGTGGGCTTCTTCATAAAAGAACTTTTAACAGAGTTATACTTAAAGCGCCACATAGAGTAATAACATAGCAGAGTAATAATATACAATGGCCAATGTCAATAAATTTGAAAGATCAGAAATCACAAAGAATTGTAGTATGGAAATCTTTGTGAGGAATTTTTATATAGCTTTAAATTATCTCATAGGACTGTTTAACAATAACATGTGTGATTTGACTGTAAAATGGCTGTAAAATGTCACAAGTAATTGTATTCTGGCTGTTGTTTGTCATTTATTGATCACATTGTTAATTGATTGAATTATGTACTAAATTTTCATATGCTGATGATGAGTGGCAGTGACTCATAGCCCTTACTATATTGTGATTGAAGTATTTTTTGAGAATGATTTAAAATTAAATCATAGTTTACCAGTGAATGTAAAATTTTAAATCTTATAAGGAATTTATCAGCTTTACTCATTTTAAATCAGTAATACAATTTTAAGCATCTATTTGTTGTAGAAACTACGAAGAAAATGTGATAGCTCACATTTGTTTTGTACTGTATTATGGATGTATGTATGTAATGTATTTGTTTGTCTGTGTATTGATATTATACAAAAAGATATTATGTTAATTATTCCACTAGTGTTTGTGTGTTGTACATAAATGGAACCATTTTCCTCCCACATCCATGTATGGAAGAGTTACAAGTGAGACACCTGTGTGAGATAACTCTGTCCCATGTTATCTTGAAAATCTGCTATATTTATTGTTACATTTCTGTTGTAAGTGTGAATCTATATTAAATGTTAGATAGGAAGTGGGAGAAAAAGAGACCGTTGGTATATAGATATGGGGAATACGGAAGTCCTACTCTAGGATGTAGAATTTCCACATTCCATGAGAACTATTGATAAAAAGCTTCCATAGAACATGATCACGATGTAGTTGTGCAATATTTAATGACGTGTTACTTAGCCATAATAAGGTGCATTTATTGTTTGTAGCTAGTCAACCCTGAAGTGATTGATACATATTTCATGTATATCTTCATTATGAGAGCAATTTTTATGAGTTTACTGTATCAAATAAATTCTAGCCTGTATAACTTCCGAGTTTACTGAATCAAGTTACACTAGCCTGTACAACTTCCGAGTTTACTGTATCAAGTTAACGCTAGCCTATACAACTTCCGAGTTTACTGTATCAAGTTAACTCAAGTTAACGCTAGCCTGCATAACTTCTGAGTTTACTGTATCAAGTTAATGCTAGCCTGTACAACTTCCGAGTTTACTGTATCAAGTTAACGCTAGCCTGTACAACTTCTGAGTTTACTGTATCAAGTTATAGCTAGCCTGTACAACTTCCGAGTTTACTGTATCAAGTTAACGCTAGCCTGTACAACTTCCGAGTTTACTGTATCAAGTTTGTACAACAGAAGTATCCTCTGAAATATCTAAATATTAATTTCAGCTTGATAAAATATTCAGCATTATGTTTCTGTCAGTCATCTTATAACAAATTAAAATATTTCTGTTGCTATTACAAATATAACATATTTGTAAACGGAACATGATACATATATATATATTGGCATTTATTGTGCAAAAGACAACTTTTCCATCACAAATAATTATACATGTAATGATAACTTTGAAAGTATGCATGTGATACCATTGCCTTTTCATTACATTTATGATTTATTCCATTAAAATATAATTAATTATAAGAAATCTTAAAATCCAGTTACAATGAAAATATTATGTTTAACTTCATAACAATTGCCTTTTATATGTAACAATTGACAAGCTGTAGTTCTGAAAATCATTGTGCATAAAGACATTACAAGTTTATATGGATATTATGAATTTGTAATAACACTTAGAAGCGTAAATTAAATCATTGCCTTTTTAGGTCACCTGAGCTTTAGCTCAAGTGACCTATTGCTATCTGTTTTCGTCCGTCGTCGTCCGTCGTCCGTCGTCCATCGTCCGTTAACATTTTACATTTCAAACTTAAAGTCAAGTTCTGCTGGGCCGATTGAACTGAAAGTTGGTAGGAATGATCGCCTCATGGTCCTGACAAAGTGTTGTTATTTTTCGGGTCGATCAGAAATCCAATATGGCCGCCACGGCCGCCATTTTGAAAACCTATTTCAAACTTAAAGTCAAGTTCTGCTGGACCGATTGAACTTAAAGTTTGTAGGAATGATAGACTCATGGTCCTGACAAAGTGTTGTTATTTTTCGGGTCGTTCAGAAATCCAATATGGCCGCCACGGCCGCCATTTTGAAAAACTATTTCAAACTTAAAGTCAAGTTCTGCTAGGCCGATTGAACTGAAACTTTGTAGGAATGATCAGCTCATGGTCCTGACAAAGTGTTGTTATTTTTCGGGTCAATCAGAAATACAATTTGGCTGCCATGGCCGCTATTTTGCTACTAAATTCTAATAGGCCGATCTCACTTAAAATTGGTCTAGGAATGATCAGCTCATGGTCCCGACAAAGTTAAGTTAACATTATACTATTTTTTACTCAAATTGGTACATATTTCAACAAAAAAAATAATACTATAGACTCAGGTGACCGTTTAGGCCCATGGGCCTCTTGTTTTTCTTCAAAGCAAATGTGAAATACACATTATATGACATAATTTATATAATTATAATAAAGATATGTAGAATTTTTGATTACACACTTTAAGACCTTGAATAATTCAGACCTATCTTGATTAAACCATTCTCAAGCTTATAACTACACTACTGAAGAAAACAAGTTTGATATTGCGTCAAAATAACTGATGTGAAATGAAAAGGTGTAATAATCCTAATGCCTCCTGCACTAATTTTAGGTGTGAAAAATATGTTAATTTGATTCTGAACGATTGAGAAAGATGTTATGAATAAAAGACAAAAGTATTAAGAAAATGCCCCAAACCAACATGTATGACTTCATTGGTTAGTTTGACAGCTACAGTATTGGTTACAAATCATTTCAAGAAATTGTTAAAAATCTGATTTGTGATGAATTTGAGAAACAAAACTATGTTTCTATTGTTAGCTTTAATGATCCCTATCCCACGGCCAGCGAAACATTAGAGGATTCCACTGTGGTATTTCGTATATACAGTGAGTAACGACCCCTTCGATTCGTTTTAGATACAACTGTACCACAATCGGGGAGAGGTACTTCCATTGGCTAGGCAGCCTATGACCAGTTGGTTAGAGCAGTAGTATACAATATTAGGTCCAGAATTCCAATCCCGATCTACACCCGCTGGTGTTTTACACCAGTACTGTTGTTGATTATATTTTGTTTATTTCATCTGTATGATTTTTTCATAAAAGTACCACAAGGTATATTTTTCCTTTCAAAAATGATTTATAAAAGCTATATTCATGCAATTACAATTTTTGGTAGTAGTTAATGGGGATCCTTAAGTATCGTAAAACACGTGTCTGATATTATTTTGCTGCCATTTCACTACTTGAAGATCCTTACATGGTGATAAATGAATAATTGACAAGACATGTTAAAGTTCCCATTTGAAATTAACATGTAAGTGTGTACTTAGAACATTTGACAAGTGTACATTTGGAGTATCATCCCGCCACCACTAACCTGGTTTTCCTTCTTTCTAGCTTCGTTAATCCAGCGACCAAAAATATGGTTGTCCTTCTATTCAGACTCATAAATCCAGCCACCATTAATTCAATTAGTTCATTAGTCAGGGTATTAGGGACATATCGTCCCATTAACCTGCCTTTGAACACAAATGACTGGATTATTCTACTACATCATGAAAGCATCTGAACTATCTGCTGGGTTTCAACTGTAATGCAGCAAATAAAGCATTTAATTGCAATATAATTGCCTCCGAAGTTTACACCATATTCGCTATATTGTATTTTGTTAACTTGATGCAACACCAATGTATTCTGTCCAACATGATCAAACCATGATGTGCCATACTGTGATAAAATATACAGTTGTGTTAGGGTTTTAGTCGTAGTATTAATGTTTCGGTTTTTAGGGTTGTTCAGTTGAAACTTAAGAGGTATTTAACCGTTATGTTATTTGATACTTACATCTTAGTGGATACGAATGCAGAATCATTGATGTTATATTTTAACATTTTTCACCAGTTTGGGAATGGGGACCATCTTTTTGAGTATTCAGTTGAATTTATATTCTGGTACATTGTATATTGTATAATTTTTTTACCTTAGAAATCTGTGTAGGGCCATGTACATGTTTTTTCTTCTCTGATGAAGCTGTTAAAAAGTCCACATTAGGATTAAATATCTAAGGTTCATTCCTCGTATTTTGGTTTCTCATTTTTGTCACATAAGTTCAAGATTGTGATAGAAATAAACTGATTTTTACAAATCTTAGAGGAAAATTCATTCGCCCAGTCGTCTGTGAAATTCAAATACACAAATAAATCAAACAAGTGGCTTGTGATCTGAAAACAAAGCTTCAACCTGGTTTGATATCCGATCAATAAAACAATTGGCTTTAGCAGTAGACCACTTACCTTTCGGTCAAGTAACAACTTATATATAACTATATTGTAGGAGTCTGGATTGTGAACAGAACAAGTCTTTAACCACTGATGCACGAACATGGTGCATTTTATTTTTGTTAACTGAAATAATAACCGTATACATGTACCTACACAATAACTACTTTATTTGGCTATAACCCAAGGGACCAAACATGAAAAGCTGTAATTTATTACCCCTTAACTTATCTACATGTAATACAACAGATATGATCTATGCAAAATTAGTTAAAAGATGTGCAGCATTTATGTAGTAGTTCTACATTTGTATATGCTTTTTCTCACAGATATTTGTTAGTAAATGTCGATAACTGGAAAATATAGGACATATAGCCCACACCACATGCATGTAATTCAAGCTATTTCCAGAAGTACTAGACATGAAAATTTTGGACATGCCCCTCAGAACCCGCCCCACAGAATCCCGGGCGTCACCACCAGGATTCGAAAATAAATAAAACTTTTCCCAAGGATGCTCCTGACCTTAAGTTACAATAGATCTATAGAAGCTCCATCGCAACATCACATCACCGGGAGATTAGAGTAAAGAATTATAAGAATCAGTTGGTTATTTCTGTTTAAATACAAACGCCACACAAACCAAATGAAGAGTGAAAAACAATAGCTATTTTATAAGCAACTATATTTGATATTATAATTATATGACTTTTTTCCTTTTGGATGTGATTAATGAACTACTTTTTTTTATCTTTGAGATATGTTTTTTTTTGAAAGGACTATAGTTTTATAAAATGTTTTTATCCTAGATATATACGTTTATTGAAAGGGATTTATGGTGTTTTTGCTGTACTAAGTATTTTCATCTTAGAATAAAGTTTACTTGAAGGGACTCAAAATATAGAAGTATGCTATTATCTTTGATATGTTTATGTATGTGTTCTCTCTCCTTGCATTTCAACATTTCTGTTGTGATGTCGGTCACTTAAATGCTATATATACATATAATGTTCAGGTTGATATCTTTTTGATTTAAGTGTCACACAGTGGTGTACAAAGCATATAAAGCGCTCGTTTGAACAGTTAAATGAATCCACACTAGGTGATTTCAGTATCTAAATGGTGATATGTTTAACGGAATCAGATATATAATTCATCCAGACATTCATCAAGTTGTTTATTGTAATGTATGTGTATAAAAAATTATACATGGTATCTAATATTAATTTAAAAGTTTTTATTTCAAACTCAACAAAAAAACACACATTTGAGACGATAGATTCGAAATATAGGGGAACTGTTATCTAAAATATTTTGTTTAGATTGTAATACTAGTACTGCACAACAGGTTTATATGAATATAACACATTTTATGATAACACACCTTTATAACAGCATATTTTATTAGATTGAGTTCACCACACGAAGTTGAAATTAATCAGCGTGTTTCTTTCTCGACCTGGAGTTCCCTAGCCATGCTTCCAACATTTTTGACTTCACAAGATAAACGGATAAAAGATATCACCCCTGAGATCTGAGTAACTGAAACAGACATTACTAACTGTTGTCCTCTTCTATTTCGGTATACAGAAGTATGTATCACTCTGTTAGTAAGGGAACAAATCTCTGTTTCTTTACTTCACGAGAATGAACTAGAGATGCTATATACGTTTTTTTAGCTAAGGTTTTAGCCGCAAGCTCTTGTTTGTGTTTTATTTGCACTAATTTAACAGTAAGTGTTTGAATTATATATAAACACTATGTAAGTAATAAATATTTATTAAAATCTCATATTGTGTTCTTAGTATTTCTATTATAAGTTTTAAAATTTATGTATTACGATATGATGTGAATAAGGTCTACCAACGTTATCATTATTATTCTGAAGAAAACAAATCTTGCTTCTTTTTCAAAATTGATTCATCTCAAATTGCACGTGTATTTTTATAGTTTTGGTGATCATGCAATAGTGATCCCACCAGACAGACATTTGAAAACAGTCATTAGTTTGTATTTAAGTACATCAAATGCAGTAGCTCAAGGAAATGTCGTATTATGTATAATAGAAATGTAAAGACAGTATGAAACGTTAGAAAATAAGGCAATCAAAATTAGGCTTGTGACCAGAACTGCTACAATTTATCAATGGACAGTAGTGAGTTTAAATGTAGATATGTGACAAATATTTCGTTAATGAGTGACATTTATCCTCACAATCTATGTCATCTAATTTTTAACCCAAGGTGTGGTTTTCTTGCTAGTCTGATATTTGGATGTCCACCTTACACTGCAACACGTACGATCCTGCAATTGAAAAATAAAAGCTTTTCATATCAATTTTGCTTATTATTGAGTTATATGTACCAAATATGTGCTTGCTATACCAACATTTAATACAACAGAAAACAATATGTGAATGACTCCTTTTCAATATGATAACAAGAAAGGTAAAAATGATCGATTAGTAATAAAATACAGTTTGGTATCAAACTGTAATAATCTAGAAGTAAACATGTTCTTAATTGACAATGAACAGTACCAGGGAAACTTCAGACATGACAAAATACAAATCGTTCAATTGTTGATCAATCTTATTACATTGTAACTAATTGCTCATCAAAAATAATAATTTCCAGAACTCTCCACAACAATCAGGTTAAGAGCAAAGTTAAAAATACTTGTGACAGTTTTCTCCTCGGAAACGACAAAAATATGGTTGTAAGGAAAGAATGCTTTCTATACTGAAAAGACGAGGACCCCCCCCCCCCCCCCCCCCAAATTAATTTAACATATGCTTACCGCCATCAAAATAATACCCCCGTACAATTCCGGTGGACATAGAACAAAATTGATCCACTGAATTGTAATGACGACAAACCAGCAGGTTAATGTGGTTACAATTCCTTAAATATGTAAACCAACGAGTAGTATTCTTATTATGTCTGAGGTCGGAAGATGTGCAACTTCAAAACTCTGCGTTAAATTTCACGAGGAAAATTAGTATTTTCCATGTCTTTTTCTATAATTCCAAAACGATACAAACATTACGTGTAATTTGATTAAAAATATTCTATATTTTTTAGGTTCAAATTAGGTTCCCCAATCCCCAGCATCTGTTACGTGACCCGGGTTCATCCTTCACCATGGTGCAATGTCAGGGTTCTAAGAAAGAAAAGATACTCTGCTTAGAAACCAGAAAACGACAGCATGATAGCTTCCAAATGACCTTGATCATTGATCCAGATATCTTTCAGTGATCATAGTTTTTTTGTTGGCCTTGTCATGCTTCAAGTTCAGCAGCCTTTGAAGGGCTTTTACTCTATGTGAAGGAAATACCTTACCTTTCCGTTCTCACAAGGGATCGTTTCTGGAGTTCAGACTTTTAATCTATAATTAAACTTTCAACGTACGTAGACACGAATTTGAAACTGAGTTTCCCTAAGAATAAAGTATATTTTGTCACAGCAGGGTATATCGCTGTCTATTTCTTTTTATTTTGGGGGGTAATCATGAACGTGCTAGAGATAGAGATAGAGATAACTAGAAATGTTATTGTTTTGATTTTCCTGAGTTATCCTGGATAACCCATTCTGTACCCCCTTAATATGTGCTAATTTCGCATTTACCTAGGTATACATACAAAAAAATGCTTTTATTTCAAAAGTAGGCGTGACAGAATTCTGGACTAGAACCTGCTTACAATAGCCAGATTACAAGAAGAGGCGACTGACTCTGTCTTCGATTCGGACCACCTGGCTGTGCTGTGTTGTTTAACATTACCCGTTATATCCGAGGCGAAATCTACGGACCACATTGGATATAATTACTAGAAAGGTGGCTAACTATTCAATATCCATTCTGTAGACAACATGTTTTTATGTTTCGAGTATTTCAATATGTTCATGTTTCCAACGGCAGCAGGTGAAATGAAAGAGTATCTGTACAATGCTAATTATGCTATCGAAACATACCCACCTCTTTTCATTAAAGACAAAACTAATTAAGGTTGGTTTCCTCTGTACTACGGCATTGTTTGTCAGACACCGTTTCCTCCTCCGTACTCCTCCTTTAACGTTGTTCATATTTGCAACACATTTTCGACGTGTTCTTTTTTACGGGCGATTCAAATGACTTACCAACTGTTTGAAACAACAATTAGGTGTTTTCTGCTGGCGTCACTTTTATGATGACCTCAGACGAATAATGTGTCTCAATTTATAAATTTAAAAAGGTGAGCCGAAATATATTAGTGGATCGATATACCTTATCTTTGATGAGCCTTGTAATCTGTGAGGAGCACCAAGGTGTTATAATGTAACTATCAACATAACGACTTACTGGTAGACTGATTCACTGACTTCAATTCAAACCTGTTTGACAATAAGTATGATATTGTTTGCTATATACACAGTTATGTGAAGTTGTTAGCGTTGAATATTATCTTTTTGATTTGTGGATGAGAAAACATATATGGTAAGCTTTATTAAATTCGTGCAATTATTTGTTTACAAAATTCTTGCCTCCTTAAAGTCTGCAATATTAATTCCACAACTTGTCCATCGTTAGTTGGCCCTTATTTATAATGAATAAAAAGGGATTTAAAAGAACCAGTGACGACATTACAAATATATTGGCTTAGATTGAATGGAAAAGCCCCCCCCCCCCAAATAGCATATTTAAATATGATCTATTAACTCACAATAGCTGCCATTGCGACCTAGTGATTATTTCTTAAAATATGTAATAGCACCTACAAAAATGCCATTTGGGGTTCTCAATTCCACTGCAGATTGCACTAAGACGAAAACAATCTTACCACCAGTTCTTTACAATTCCAATTTAAGTAATTGCAAATGGCGGCTAACTAACATCGGATACATTATACACTAAAAAGGAGATGTTAGGTAAGTAACGATAGCTCGCTCTTGTTAAAGGTGTCTAATCCATTTTGTTCAGCTAGGGAGCTAGGAGGAAATACATCAATAATGTAGATTATACCGCCTATAGGGACATAAAACACAAGTGTCATCGCGTACACTCATAAACACGCTCATGATATCCAGGCAAAGTCTCTTTTGTCTTTTTTATTGTCTAAGACATATCAAAGGTTTGAATAGTCTAACATGTGTTTGATCAATATGCCGCTGTGATGATATCCATCCTCATTTGTGAGTACCCAGGACCGCTGTTTAGGAATATATTTTTGATCAATGCACCACAATAAAAGAAGCTTGTTATTAAACACTGGCTACAACAACTGGTCTGCAATTTATTGTAGATCAATGACCGTATATCTTATGATTTCTTTGTGAAATTAACTTATACAATACAATATTAATGGGCGCTACCAAATGCAACTGATGCTATCAAAAGTTTTAATTGGCGTTTTTTTTAAACAAAAGTATCTGTACTTTTTTCTTATAACAACAAAACGACATTTAGTTTTAATTTTACATACTTAAAAAGTTCAAATAATTTCCAAGTAGCCAGTGATTTAATTGGTCGATAAGGATCATAATTGCAACCTAGTATCTTTTTCCTGAAAATATGTAATAGTACCTACAAAAATGCCTTTTGGGGTTTGCAATTCCACTGCAGATTGCACTAAGACGAAAACATTCTAACCACTAGTTCTTTACATTTCCATTATAAGTAATTGCAAATGGCGGTTAACTAATGGCGGATAAATGTTAATACACATTATAATCTCCAACGGAAATGTTCGGAAATTAGTGATAGCTCGCTCTTTTTAAAGGTTTCTAATCCATTTTGTTTAGACTTTACTTTTAAAAACAATAAAAAAATGATTTTGCACTCATAAACAATAAGTAATTGCACGCAGATGCCGTTACTTTACAATCATAATTTTACATTTTGTACTTATTATATTGTTTTCTGAAGTCTTTTTATTTTTCGTTTATTTTTTGAACAATAGTGTTCAAAATACCGTTGCATACAGTCGATAATGACGTAATAAACAACGCGTAACGATAGCGTTTTATATATTATCGATGAATCTTAACATAGTCCGGCCTATAGGGACATATAAAAACAGTTGTTATCGCATACACTCATAAATACAGTCATGATATCCAGGCTAGGTCTCTTTTGTCTTTTGTTATTGTCTAAGACATAACAAAGGTTTGAATAGCCTAGCACGTGTTTGATCGATATACGGCTGTGATGATGTTATTTGTTTTTCCGGGTAGTACCCAGGACCGCTGTTTAGGATAAGATTTATGATCAATATACCGCAATAAAAAAACTTATTATTATAACAACTGGTATACAATTTATTGTAGATCCATGACCGTATAACCTATACAATAAAATGTTAAGGGGCATTACCAAATGCAACTCATGCTATCAACAGTTTTAATTGGCGGTTTATTTAAGAATAGTACCTGTACTTTTTTCTTATAACAAAAGAAACCCGACATTTAGTTTCAATTTTACACATAAAAGTTCTAATCAGTTCAGATTTTACTAGACGATATGGATTCAAGAATTTTGCAAAATATTTTGAGTAATTGAATAAAAAATTCAAGTGTTTAAAATTCTCTTTCAATATCTGCTACCGTTACATTTTTGAACATTAAACATTTTAAAGCAAAGATATTTGAAACCTTTTTAGATATTTCAAACATTGTTTTTTTTCTGTTTTGCTACAATTGTTTTCAAAATGTAAACTGTAAAAATGAAATTTCTATGGAAAATTATATTCGTCGAAATGAGGAAAATCTATACTGTCCTTTCGCAAATATTTTGTTTTTATTATTTGAGATATTGATTGTGGCTATATAAATGTAAACTTGATCATTTATGAATACAGTGTATAGTGGAATTATGTTTATCGATTATGTCTAAACGAACTTTGACTTAAGCCAGTATCAGTACTTTAACGCTAGCGTAGGAAGGCAGCTGTCTTCTCATACTGAGCAATGCTTTGATTGGTTGTGTATCCGTGGTGCAGAGTGTGACCAAACAGGTGCATAGTTCGGTCTGTCGGTGCGACATCACTTACACCAGGCACATCGATAACAAAGCCTCACCCCTATACGTAATTATTTCGTCCTCCTTTAGAACCGAGGGTATCATGCTAATGAAAGGGTAAACTAGAATCGCCCAGAACATTCCATTCGAATCGAAAAAAGGTATGACAGCTTATTCAATGTCATCGTGCATATTCAATAAAAAATATGAAGTTCATTTGCATAGTGATACCTAGATATTCAGATGGATTTATCCTATATTTGTTTTTGTTTATTAAATAAAGGAAATATTATATAATTAAACATGTACACTTTTTGATTGTTAATTTAAGGAGGTAAAG